TATATATATATATATATATATATATATATATATATATATATAACATGTTAGCTTATGCATGATGGAATTATACATATATTGGTGTATATGGGTATGTTTATCTACATATTTGGATGTGTTGGTCTCTCAAATGGGTTTCATATTTCCTAAAGAAATTGACAAAAACAATTTTAAGGAATGAAATTTAGACTGTCGGGTTACATATATAGTGTTTTAAAAAATGAAAATAAAATTGATAAAGGAAGGATTTTATGGCATGTAGAAGATGAAGGAGATGTTGGCTTAAATTCAAAAACTCCCCCTTTTAGTTTTAGATACATCATATATCTACTTGTTGAAATTACAAAGTTAAATCCAAGGTTTTGTTTAGTTATAGAAAGTTCCCTTTCTGTTTCATGAGTAACGTATAAGTGCCTGTTGAAATTACAAAACGACTCCAGAAGATCATAAAATACAACTAAAATAATAAATCAGTATTTTTAATAGTTAGGAAATGTTTTTGAAAATGTAAATTGACCCCGAATAGTTATGAGATAGTTTTAGAGATTATAAAATTACAGCAACTTGCTAGATCATGTATTTAGAAATTATTTAAAGACCCCAAAAATTTCTAAAACTCAAAATAATGAGGCTATCATAAATTATTATCTCTTTAGGAGTGTATTCCTAGGTGATATATACATACACTCTCATGGTTATGAATAATATATAATGATTGTATAAGTAAATATGTGATTCTAGTCAACATTAACAACCATTAAAGTATTGTGATATACATGATATGTGCTGACATACATAGGATGATAAATGTCGACATGTTCACAATGGTGATAATGATACTAAGGTTGAAGTAGTAAATATTATTATATGTATTAGCATGTTGGGATGGTATTGAAATGCTTATTTTTAACTGCACCATGAGTATACTGAATAATATTTCGACGGAAGGTATATCACACGTGATAATCTTGATTAGTATGCATAATCAATGATGTGATACACAAAATGATAACCTTGGAAACAATATAGGACAAATAAGCAGAGGTTGCTCCTCCCTTGGGTGAAAGACCAAAATAAGTCTTGATTAAGCATAGCATTCGTCGTGGTGCGGAGTTACTTGTGCCTTAATTGAAAGCATCTAAAGACGAGGGGGTGGGGTACACCCCACATTAGAGCCCTCGAAGGGACCCGGTGTTCTCCAAGTGTTTGTACATAACAAACAATGTATTGGCATAAATACATATAGATTGAGATTGAAAGTCTAGTGGGACCCATGACACGAATAGGTAATATTGGATACATGTTAAATTGAAATTTTTGTTTTTACGCATGACCATCTTATTGGTACATCTTATGTGATGCTTTAAGCACGTTATGAGCTTAACATTGTTAATTATTTGTTACGAATATCATATGAGAATTTAATGTATGGTATATCACACGTGATAGTTGTTTCTCTACTGGGCGTTAGCTCACCCTAACATTTTGTAGGGAATAGATCAAGAGATGAGTGTTTCTTCCTGAAGCTATCTTGAATATTTGTGCTTAGTCTAGCTTGCGTGCTATTATATCTCACGTTAATATTCTTGTGTTTTATTGCTTTAGTGCATTTTCAAAACCTACGGGTCTAATTGCGTCGATTAATGTACTATATTTGGGATGAATGTATAATTTGGGCACTTGAACTATGATACTAAATAAATGCTCAAATCACAAATCCTTTGCATCTAAGTTCTCTTTGAGAGTTTGTTAGATACACTGATTATCCACTTTAAACTAAAGTACTCAAACTATTCAATTCATTTGATGAATTGTGTCTATTGCTACCTAAATCAAATAAAATATATTAAATCACATTTTAAAAATCAGCGTCATACGCAGTCTTACATCTTCAAACAGAAAGATTATTTATGTTATTCGAACCCATGATCTCATTGACCTCTAAGTCATAATAGAGCAACTTCATCTTCTAAATTCCTTAGATTTAATTGCACATACACTATATCAATTGTTATAAAAGCCGCTTCTCAATTTGTGTGATATTCTTTAGGGCTTTTCTGGTAGGATTCAATTAAATCCTTCATGTTCAATGCTTTTGGTATAAATGTAGTGCTTAGAATCAGATGATCATACCATAGTATGCACTCTCTCTCTCTCTCTCTCTCTCTCTCTCTCTCTCTATGTGTGTGTGTGTGTGTGTGTGTGTGTGTGCAATAATTAATAAAGAAAAGAGTTAAACCAGAAGATCACAGCCAGCAAGAAAGTGAAAGCTGGGGTCAAGTTGCTCATAGCAGATGCAAGGGTGGGAGAGCTGTAATTTATTCCAGTGAACACACAGGTCTGCATGATAGTAATCCTGCAATAACCCAAGAAAATAACAGTATTCCTCCATAAAGAAGGCAGACTTCATATGTAGTTAATCAAGTGAAGCAAGTTTTTTGGGTCAAATTAAACTTACCCAATAAGGCTGAGTAGGAAAAATTTACAGATGAGAGAGAAAGTGAGAGGAGGTCTCATTGTTCTGCAAACAATAAGAAACCCAATTAGAGACAAAAAAATATAGAATCTGTTGATGATAATAGGGCATCTGTAAGACAAGACCTGTGAGAGAAGAATGAACAAGGGAAGAGGACGATAGAGGCAAGGGTACTGGAGTAGACTACAAAGACAAAATGGCTCATTCCTTTTGACATGGCTGCCTTGCTCAGTGTGGTTAAGCCCACATCATGGCACTCCACCACCACCATTGCCCCAAAGGGCACCAAGCTCACCAAGCAGGACTTCAGACCCATTCCCTCTCTCTCTCTCTCTCTCTCTCTCACACACACACGGAATATAAGTATGATACGATACGGATATGACGCTACGGTAAAATTTAAAAAAAAAGATACGGATAGGATAAAGATACGACTATAATAAAATATTTTTATTATTTTTAATCAACATAATACTTATATATTTTGATAGTTTTTTAACACAATAGAAAAAATTTCTAATTTTTTTAGTTTAAAGAAAATATATATTGTATCACTATAATATATTCACAAAGTGAAGTGATTAATTAAAATAATCAAAACTAACATTTACCGAGTTGATTTATTTAGAAGTGATTTTTGCTAAAATTATAATTTAATATATTTATTTTATACTCTTTTAATATGTAATTGTAGATAATACTTAAAAAATATTCATGTGTCGTTGAAGTAATATGAATTTTTGTAAATGTATCGTGTTATATGTGAATTCGAAAGAAAATGTTAAAAACTCAATTCAAAAATTATAGGTATTGCTTGAACACAAAAACATCTATGAAATATGTTAATATTTAATTATTATCGAATACGTAAGAAGCATATTCGATACGTATCTTCAAATATCATATTTAATAAAATATTCGATACAGATATGTCTACCACGACAAAATATATGGCGACAATAGCAAAAACGTGCAGATTTAAACCTGTGGCTATGGGCATATGGCATTCTATCTGCCGGTGTCCTGCCCGCTTGTCCCAGGTTTAAACATACCAATATTTGCTCTGACCCCTGTACGGATTTTACTCGATTAAAAATCAAAATTTTTTTTGTTTGAATCATTTTTTGCGAATTTTAATTAATTTTCTCGCTAGACTATTTAAAGGCAAGTCATTCACACCAAATTAAAGTATTTATAAGAAATAAATCTTCTATATTGCACTTGAAGTTACAAAGGTAGGATTACTCATGTAATGCACTTGCAAGATAAAATTAGCCGACCAAAATGACAAAATGTAAGTGGAATTGTTTAATGTGGTTAAAAATGTAAGTAAACTAGGTTAAAATATGTTGGGTTTTACATGTGTATACGTAGAAAATACCTAGAGCATTTGTTGGGAGACTTGAGAGTATAGTGAATCGAAGACCCATGTGAAATTCATAGGGTGAGGTTAGTTCTATCTTAAAAATATTTATTCTCACTCTATTTAATTTTTATTATCAAATTATTAAATCCACCCCTCATATACTCACTCTATTAGTAATTAAGTAAATCCAATGTTATAAACACCTCTTTAATAAGTAGTAAAAAAAATAAGAGGGCAAAATTTATCAAAACCCAAAAGAATAGAATATGGAGACCCTTAATTGTACTCCATCCGTTTCTAAATATCTGTCGTTTTATATAATTTTTTTTGTTCCATAATATCTGTCGTTTAATGAAACCAAAACACAATTAATATTTTTTCTTTCAAATTTACCCTTAACTTTTCAATACGTTAGATTTTGTGGAAGTTAAATGTCTTTCATATTCTTTTCTTTCCTAATACGTATTGAATAAGAGTATTTTAGTTTTGTATAATTATTTTTTACTCATATTACATCTATTTAATAACTAAAAATTTTAAACGATAGATATTTTGGAATAGGTGGAGTAATATATAAGAAAAAAAAAACCGCCCTAAATTTCGCCTATGCCACGTGGTTATCTTTCCTTTATTAGCATGTGCTTTTGAACCATCTGACATCCCTCCCCTTGTATGCGGAGTCACACGCGCACACTATATAAACAGTAACTAACACCCACTAGGCCACATTCGCGGTTCTTTATTGAAATTTTCTTGACGGTCTTGTGCTCAAGAAGTGCTCTGTGTTTTTTGAATCAGGTAAAAGTTCCATCTTTCTCATGGTAACGCTTGTTCTCTGCGAATCTATACATTGTTCTTTCCATGTTATTCTTTTTATGATTCGCATTTTGTTTTCGGTGTTAGATGGCTGTCGCCTTTTTCTTCTCTGTGATTTTTTGTTTTGTGCGATTATTGGCCAAGATCTTCAAATGATCATACTCGAAATGTCAGTGTTTTTCTGCGACTTGTGATGACTATTTTCTCGTTAGAAAAAAAAAATAAAAAATCTCTTGTTGGGTTGCATTAAGTTGGTTTCTTTTTGGCAAAAATGTTGAATTTTCATTATGGGATCGCTTTTTTTTTTTTTTCCCAGCCCCTACTCGAAACATTGCCTCTTTTCCATCAAGGTTGATTCTTGATGTTGATGGATGGCTGAACAATGCTAGTGTTGAAGATTTAGATATGTGTATATATTTTTTTACAGAAGTTCTGATTAATGATTTGTTTCTTTGAATTGGCAGATATATCTGTTCCTTATTCATTGCTTGTTTACTTCCTGCTAAAAGTAATTGTGGGACAATCTTGCAAATCTTTATTCATTTTACTTTCTTCTTTGTTTTTTTAGCAGATTTGTTCCGGAATAGACCCTCCATTCGCCTATTATCCGACTACTGTTAGATTAACTCAACAACAGCAACTGCATTGCATTACTTGGCTGGAAGTGCAAGGTGTTAAAAATTAGCTGGCTTAGAGATCACAACACTGAGTAGTAGTTCTAATATATAACTTGGCCGTACCTGCTTGTTTGTCTAGCTCACTCGAACAACAACTCCAGCTTGGCTTAGTTCTGGCTTGCTTAGCCCTAGCTCGAAATAGCCAACTCTTCGCCTATGCAATAGGTTTATAAGTGAGTGATTCTCCAAAGTAGAATACCTGGCTAACTAGTTGATTTTTTTTTTTTGGCAGACTTCAGGAGATATTACTCCATTAATTTGTAAGAACTAAAATGAAGACTCCAAATAAGAGGATAGACACTGATTTCTGGAGATTGTAAGCCCCTCATCATTATTTATGTTTTATATTCTCCGCCAACTTTGTCATAGTTGCTGGTATTTCAACTTCTTTTCTTCTTATTTCGTGGACGGTATTTAATTCTTTGTGCTGTTTAATGCTATCTTTCCCATGTTTGCATGGCTTTTGTTTTGGTAAGGTAAGGATAAAGGGCCTTATCTATGTATTCCATAACCTAACTTAATGAATTACACCAAGCAAATGAAAAAAAAAACTAGAAATGATTTCCTTGTGAGACTCTGGGGCTCTGTAACAATATTTGTCATAATTGCAGATTGTCATTTATTGTTAATGATCTTTTTGTTCTGTGTCACTGATCCTAAAGGCATACATAGTTTGCATATTGGTTTTAGTTACGTGGTTTCTAGTAAAATTGAATTACTCATAGATATATGTACTATGATTATGGTACTAAGTCCTTGCTTTTGCAGAACTGATATGTTCTTGTTTTATATCGATAAAAGTTCTCTATATGCTTATTTAGGTAAGTCTACCCCAATGTATGCCTCCTTTTTTAAATAATTGTTCTGTTTTGGATTATTTATCTTTACCATGAGAGTTCTTTGACACAATTTGGTTTAATCAACGATTTCATGATAAGTGAAACGGATTTACCATAGTGGCACATGGGAGTAGAAGAATGCTTTGACATGTAAGATATGGCATCCGATGTTAAAGAAAGAGCTTGAATGATCTAGCTGTTCTTATTTATTATGGGCGTAAGGGGTTTGGGACGTTTGGTCTCTCTTTCTCTCAAACTTTGACCCTTGGCTACTTAAGAATGCAAAATGATCAAGAAAAACTTAATTGGATGATTAAAAAAAACACTTATAAGTTTATGCTGAGAAACATTATCTCAATGTAAGAGATCTACTTGCACATCATGGTGTCCTCTCCCCTTTAGTAATGGCAGTTATGAAATGAAACTTAATTCATGATGTTTGACATAATGAGTTGTCAGCTATTCATGCAACACTAGAACCAGTGACCAGTATATTATCTGCATGGTGCTAAACCCTCGATGCTATTTATTTATAGCTCATTGGATGGTAGGTAGATTTAGGGTGTTGTTATTCATTTAGTGTTTTTGTTACTTTACGTGACATTAGTGTGGCAATGCGGTGTGTCCACAGCTTATATGATATGCAGTCCCTGTGACTCTTTAGGAAGCTTTGTGTGCTTTCTGTTTAGAGCTTTGCAAAAATTTGGATGCTCTAGAGTTTGTTAATGTTTTTACAGGCTGAAGTTGCACCTATACCTAATGATACTTGTGGTCATTTCTACCTGTTGTGTTTATTCAGGAGCCTTGAGTACAATGTTAAGACGATAAATGAGGACAGTATCAGTCCATTTACTGTGGAATTCCATGGCCCCAAAGAAAGTATGCTCCCCACTCTCAAGCCTCCACTGCCTCGTGCTCCTATGGTTTTGTTCTCTTATCTTTTGTTTTTGTTTGTTTTTTGGTTTTGGGCTTTGTCTTTTTGGGGGAGGGGACAAGTTGTGGGCTTTAGGTTAAAGGAATGATTTCCATAGTCTTGTCCTACAATTCTATTACCATTTATTGTGAGCATGTGTGTCCGTGTGTCAGATGCCCAATCTTTAGTGTTAATTTTGTTTGAAGCTGACCATGATTGTTAGGAGTGTCACCATGAATATATTCTTCTTTTTGGATCTTGATGTACTGTTCTTTTATTGAAATTATTATCCAACAAGGAGGTTTCGTTGGTCGTGGTGTCACGCGAAGAATTGTGCTTTTAGTTTTACCAACGGACATTAATAAACTATTGCACAGCTTCTTTAGGATTGTTGATTGTGAATACGTTTGATGCCAGAATTGTGTAGGTGACAATAGGATCTTTAATCTCTCGTATCTTGTATTCGATCTTGCTAATCTTTCTAGATTCTGCCTGACCGGTAGGCAGTTTTATCATGAATTGTGTAAATAATCAAGATATCCGGAACTTTGGTTCTGAACTTTTTCCCTAAAAACAATCTTAACTGTTATTTAAAATGCTTAACAGCCTTTTCTGGTTTATTTTGACCACCTTCCTCTGCATGCACCCACATCATATCAAAGCCAATTCTTTGTAAATGATTCTCCTGTCATTTGATTCTGCATTCCTGCAGGTATCTATGAAGGTGGTGTGTGGAAAGTGAGAGTTGAGCTTCCAGATGATTATCCGTTCAAGTCTCCTTCCGTTGGATTTATGAACAAGATATTCCACCCAAATATCGATTACCCGTGAGTTCACTCATGCACTTGGAGACTAGCTCATATTTAGTCCATCAAACTAGACCAAAGTTCTATATAAATCAATGAGTCAACACAATCAACTACAAGCTTGGAAGATCAATCTGTGGTTATTTTTGTAGCCTAGAAATATTGTAGTGGGTGATTCTAAGCATTCTATGGCAATGAATGATCCTTTACCCCTCCCTGTATACTGCAGGTCTGGTTCAATATGCGTGGATGTTCTTAATCAAAAATGGAAACCAACATTTGGTATAATACGTCATCGGCCCTTATCCACCCTTTTCCCTATCTCTATCCTTTTTATAATATCAGCTATTTTTTTTTCTCCATTTCACTCCATCTTTTTCCCCTGTAGAATAGTGAAGTAACATGATCTAGCTGTGGTCACTGTTTTTGCAGATCTTTTAAATGTTTTTGAAGTTTTTCTCCCCCAACTCTTGCGCGAACCAAATCCTGCAGACCCACTCAATGTTGAAGCTGCGTCACTGATGATGCAGGACAAAACTCTATATGAACAGAAAGTTAAAGGTGAATGACTCCTATTTTGGCTTCCCTTACTTTTCCCATAATCAGGATACTTTTTTTTTTGAAACACTTTTTCAGACAAAAAAAAAAAAGCCTTAAAACTGAAAGTTTGCGAAATATATTAACTGGGAGATGCAGAAAACTGTGTTTTGCTGCTGGTATACGTGACTTATACCTAGAAGGACTATGAATTCTGTGTCAGACGTAACAATGATATACCATATCTGCAGTGGCGCTATGATTACTTAAAAGGGGGGCTCAAGTGTTTCCTCTCTCAGTTACACTTACACTGCCAAGCCACATAGTTAACTTATAGATAAACATTGCATGATATAGGTCACCACTGGAATCTACAATTAGAAGCGATTTTGCTCTTTGAGATTTTGAAATAACTCCCAATGGAACTGTTAAAATTATTAAATTTTGCATTCCAAATGACACGTTATCAATTTGCTGGAGTATATTGTTAAAAACCATTTCTTGATTGAGTGTATGACTTAAAATCTGCATTTAATTGATGAGGAATTTTGAAATTTGGTTGCTACATTGTGTGTGGGTCCATACTCCAGCAACTTAAGCATCTTAGAGTAATTGGTAGTGGTATTAGTGCCATGGTTCCTGCATGTCCCGGGTACCAGCCTCGCTATCAGTAGATAGTAAGATCATGTTTTATATGTGCATACTGATGCATTTGATTGTGTCTCCCCTCTATGCAGGGGGTGTTAAGGGCTTGATATACATATAGCGTCAATTCTCTTACAAACTATGGTTTAGCATAATTCGTAGTTTAACTTCCCCTACCCCACAAACAAATGAGAATATAAACTATCACACAAGCAAACCAGAGATCCCATACACAAAAGTTTTACTTGTGCAGATTTCATGTTTCCTGATTTTTTATGCAGAATACAGTGAGCATTATGCAAAGAAGAAGGAAGATATCGGTGAGGAAAATGATAACGTCAGTGATGGACGAAGTTTACCAAGTGATGACGAAATTCCAGCACAGGCAAACCCATGAGGGCATACTAGGGTGGCATTAGAAGATGTCTTTGGTTACATACTCATCATCTTTGTATTTGGTTATATGACATTTTCAATTTGCCTGTAAATGATAAGATTGTTGTAAGATGTTTTGATCATGACAATTTTACAGAAGATTCGAAGGAATCAAATATTAGAAATGGAACGACAGAAGGAATTCGTACATAATACAAATGAAATATTTGACAGTTGCTCTCTCTCACCATTGTATTTCAATATAGGGTGTTAGAATATGTTTATGTTCTATATTGTGATGATTTTGTCTCTGTCTTTTATTTTTTGTCTTAGTCTACTTTTCCTTTCTTTATCATATATACAGTAGTCACTAGGAAGAAACCATCAAAACTCAATGCAGTAGTAAAAATAGGAAAGTACACATCAAGGCCCCAAGTGCAGAAATCCCATATCGAAAACTTGAATTTTTTTTATAGTTGGACATTCAAAATAATGACATTATATCATGCCAAGAAAATGATGGTTTCATACAATAACTACGGTATAAATTGATTTTGAAGACGGTGGATGTTCTTATTTCGAAAAAGAGAAGATGTTAAATGCCTGAGTTTTACTTTTGTGGATTGTACAAAGAGCTTGATTGTTATGTGAACACAGGAAAAGACAATGATGATTTCTTCAAATGTCTTGGGAGGTCTATTGTCCAACTTACCCAAAAAAAAAGTCTTCCTTCTGGGGTGTTGAATGAAATAACCTTCAGTCAATTCACTGTGTTTTTTATTTGTTTTCTTTGTTTTTTGTGATGTATATCTCAGCTGTACCATCACTAAACCCTGCACTTTGATTCAGATGATAGAAAACCATGTCTAGATTTGAGCTCTGTGCTAATTGAACTATATACACATTATGTTGGCTGCTATATCTGAGTTTTTTATTTTTTTTGTTTCTGCTCATTGAGTTCTGCTGAAATGCAGGGCAAATAAGTTCTTGCAGTTATTTCATAAGATGGTTCCGCGAACTGTGGACTGCAATATTTGTTGAGCAGTGTTCATTTTTATTTACACAGTCGATCCCAAATGGTTGGAATTAAGGCTTTGTTGAGTTTTTGTCAAGTTGAGATCATTTTTATTTACATGTGCAATGCCGTGACTTGAACTGAGCCTGTTTAAAACTTTACCAGGTCCAATCATTGCAATTGAAAAAATCATGACGCTGAAATCGAGCATCTGGAATCATGAGAAAGCTCCATAAATGTTCTTTTCAAAGGAAAAAAATACAGATGTACAATGTTTTAATACTCACCGCCCTAAGGCTATACGGAACATGCTATTGATTACAGATGCTCTGCACCACACAACACCAAGTCAGAGAAATAAAAAACCTTCAAAAACCTGAGAGACAAGGTAACTTTCTCTCGCATCAAGTATGAAAGATTAGTATATAATTAGGGTCGCCATCAAAGCACTGGATCCATGGAGAACCCACTGATATGTACAGAGCAATAGGTTTTGAACATTTCCACCTGCCGGCTCTATATATTTAAATCCTGCTTTGTTAGTCCTTAAGTCTTTGTTGGCAAGCACAATCAGATAATACAAATCCATCTTTGTAAATTCAGCCAATTGGCACTTTATAATGNACACCTTCAAAAACCTGAGAGACAAGGTGACTTTCTCTCGCATCAAGTATGAAAGGTTAGTATATAATTAGGGTCACCATCAAAGCACTGGATCCATGGAGAACCCACTGATATGTACAGAGCAATAGGTTTTGAACATTTCCACCTGCCGGCTCTATATATTTAAATCCTGCTTTGTTAGTCCTTAAGTCTTTGTTGGCAAGCACAATCAGATAATACAAATCCATCTTTGTAAATTCAGCCAATTGGCACTTTATAATGATTTGTCAATATTTCAACATTGTGACCTTCTCACTTGTGCACAATGATAGTCAATCAAAAACCAACCTCATGAGAAGGAGAAACAAATCATAGGGGACATTTTCACAGAATTGATCTTGTTCCTCAGCTATGGGTCGTATCTCCATCTGTGTAATTTTTTTTTTTTTCTTTTTCTTCATCTCAGTGGTGAATTCAGAAAATGGAGAAGTGAGGCAGGCTTTGGTTCAATTCATGGGGAAACTTTCTCCGGGGAATGTGCAGAGAGACGCGAATTGGGGTTGGAACGAGACTTCAGACCCATGCACTGGCAAGTGGCAGGGCGTTACCTGTGACCGCGGGTTACAAAAAGTAAAGAAGGTAATTCTTGATCAGCTCAATCTCACAGGAGTTCTTGATCCCAGTTCTCTTTGCGAGGCGAGGTCTCTTGGTGTTCTGAGCCTGAAAGACAATAATGTTGTTGGAAATTTGGCAGAGCAGATATCAAATTGCAAATATCTGACTCATTTGTATCTAAGTGGCAACCGTTTCTCAGGCAATCTTCCAGACTCTCTCTCCCAGTTGAGTAATTTGAAGAGGATNCATGATCTAGCTGTGGTCACTGTTTTTGCAGATCTTTTAAATGTTTTTGAAGTTTTTCTCCCCCAACTCTTGCGCGAACCAAATCCTGCAGACCCACTCAATGTTGAAGCTGCGTCACTGATGATGCAGGACAAAACTCTATATGAACAGAAAGTTAAAGGTGAATGACTCCTATTTTGGCTTCCCTTACTTTTCCCATAATCAGGATACTTTTTTTTTTGAAACACTTTTTCAGACAAAAAAAAAAAAGCCTTAAAACTGAAAGTTTGCGAAATATATTAACTGGGAGATGCAGAAAACTGTGTTTTGCTGCTGGTATACGTGACTTATACCTAGAAGGACTATGAATTCTGTGTCAGACGTAACAATGATATACCATATCTGCAGTGGCGCTATGATTACTTAAAAGGGGGGCTCAAGTGTTTCCTCTCTCAGTTACACTTACACTGCCAAGCCACATAGTTAACTTATAGATAAACATTGCATGATATAGGTCACCACTGGAATCTACAATTAGAAGCGATTTTGCTCTTTGAGATTTTGAAATAACTCCCAATGGAACTGTTAAAATTATTAAATTTTGCATTCCAAATGACACGTTATCAATTTGCTGGAGTATATTGTTAAAAACCATTTCTTGATTGAGTGTATGACTTAAAATCTGCATTTAATTGATGAGGAATTTTGAAATTTGGTTGCTACATTGTGTGTGGGTCCATACTCCAGCAACTTAAGCATCTTAGAGTAATTGGTAGTGGTATTAGTGCCATGGTTCCTGCATGTCCCGGGTACCAGCCTCGCTATCAGTAGATAGTAAGATCATGTTTTATATGTGCATACTGATGCATTTGATTGTGTCTCCCCTCTATGCAGGGGGTGTTAAGGGCTTGATATACATATAGCGTCAATTCTCTTACAAACTATGGTTTAGCATAATTCGTAGTTTAACTTCCCCTACCCCACAAACAAATGAGAATATAAACTATCACACAAGCAAACCAGAGATCCCATACACAAAAGTTTTACTTGTGCAGATTTCATGTTTCCTGATTTTTTATGCAGAATACAGTGAGCATTATGCAAAGAAGAAGGAAGATATCGGTGAGGAAAATGATAACGTCAGTGATGGACGAAGTTTACCAAGTGATGACGAAATTCCAGCACAGGCAAACCCATGAGGGCATACTAGGGTGGCATTAGAAGATGTCTTTGGTTACATACTCATCATCTTTGTATTTGGTTATATGACATTTTCAATTTGCCTGTAAATGATAAGATTGTTGTAAGATGTTTTGATCATGACAATTTTACAGAAGATTCGAAGGAATCAAATATTAGAAATGGAACGACAGAAGGAATTCGTACATAATACAAATGAAATATTTGACAGTTGCTCTCTCTCACCATTGTATTTCAATATAGGGTGTTAGAATATGTTTATGTTCTATATTGTGATGATTTTGTCTCTGTCTTTTATTTTTTGTCTTAGTCTACTTTTCCTTTCTTTATCATATATACAGTAGTCACTAGGAAGAAACCATCAAAACTCAATGCAGTAGTAAAAATAGGAAAGTACACATCAAGGCCCCAAGTGCAGAAATCCCATATCGAAAACTTGAATTTTTTTTATAGTTGGACATTCAAAATAATGACATTATATCATGCCAAGAAAATGATGGTTTCATACAATAACTACGGTATAAATTGATTTTGAAGACGGTGGATGTTCTTATTTCGAAAAAGAGAAGACGTTAAATGCCTGAGTTTTACTTTTGTGGATTGTACAAAGAGCTTGATTGTTATGTGAACACAGGAAAAGACAATGATGATTTCTTCAAATGTCTTGGGAGGTCTATTGTCCAACTTACCCAAAAAAAAAGTCTTCCTTCTGGGGTGTTGAATGAAATAACCTTCAGTCAATTCACTGTGTTTTTTATTTGTTTTCTTTGTTTTTTGTGATGTATATCTCAGCTGTACCATCACTAAACCCTGCACTTTGATTCAGATGATAGAAAACCATGTCTAGATTTGAGCTCTGTGCTAATTGAACTATATACACATTATGTTGGCTGCTATATCTGAGTTTTTTATTTTTTTTGTTTCTGCTCATTGAGTTCTGCTGAAATGCAGGGCAAATAAGTTCTTGCAGTTATTTCATAAGATGGTTCCGCGAACTGTGGACTGCAATATTTGTTGAGCAGTGTTCATTTTTATTTACACAGTCGATCCCAAATGGTTGGAATTAAGGCTTTGTTGAGTTTTTGTCAAGTTGAGATCATTTTTATTTACATGTGCAATGCCGTGACTTGAACTGAGCCTGTTTAAAACTTTACCAGGTCCAATCATTGCAATTGAAAAAATCATGACGCTGAAATCGAGCATCTGGAATCATGAGAAAGCTCCATAAATGTTCTTTTCAAAGGAAAAAAATACAGATGTACAATGTTTTAATACTCACCGCCCTAAGGCTATACGGAACATGCTATTGATTACAGATGCTCTGCACCACACAACACCAAGTCAGAGAAATAAAAAACCTTCAAAAACCTGAGAGACAAGGTAACTTTCTCTCGCATCAAGTATGAAAGATTAGTATATAATTAGGGTCGCCATCAAAGCACTGGATCCATGGAGAACCCACTGATATGTACAGAGCAATAGGTTTTGAACATTTCCACCTGCCGGCTCTATATATTTAAATCCTGCTTTGTTAGTCCTTAAGTCTTTGTTGGCAAGCACAATCAGATAATACAAATCCATCTTTGTAAATTCAGCCAATTGGCACTTTATAATGATTTGTCAATATTTCAACATTGTGACCTTCTCACTTGTGCACAATGATAGTCAATCAAAAACCAACCTCATGAGAAGGAGAAACAAATCATAGGGGACATTTTCACAGAATTGATCTTGTTCCTCAGCTATGGGTCGTATCTCCATCTGTGTAATTTTTTTTTTTTTCTTTTTCTTCATCTCAGTGGTGAATTCAGAAAATGGAGAAGTGAGGCAGGCTTTGGTTCAATTCATGGGGAAACTTTCTCCGGGGAATGTGCAGAGAGACGCGAATTGGGGTTGGAACGAGACTTCAGACCCATGCACTGGCAAGTGGCAGGGCGTTACCTGTGACCGCGGGTTACAAAAAGTAAAGAAGGTAATTCTTGATCAGCTCAATCTCACAGGAGTTCTTGATCCCAGTTCTCTTTGCGAGGCGAGGTCTCTTGGTGTTCTGAGCCTGAAAGACAATAATGTTGTTGGAAATTTGGCAGAGCAGGTATCAAATTGCAAATATCTGACTCATTTGTATCTAAGTGGCAACCGTTTCTCAGGCAATCTTCCAGACTCTCTCTCCCAGTTGAGTAATTTGAAGAGGATAGATGTATCGAGCAATGACTTCTCTGGTGAGCTGCCAGATATGTCAAGAATCTCAGGCTTGCTAACCTTCCGTGCTCAAAACAATGAACTCAATGGAACAATACCAATGTTTGATTTCTCTAACCTTGTTGAATTCAATGTCTCCAACAACAATCTCAGTGGTCCAATTCCTGACGTCAGTGGCCATTTCAATGCAAGCAGCTTTTTGGGTAATCCTGGACTTTGCGGAAAGCCACTATCAAATGATTGCCCACCAGCTCCACCTGCTAATAAGAAAGGCTCATCAAACAAAAAGTATCTTTATCTTATTTACTCCGGCATCGCTATTCTCGGGCTGATTGTTGTGATCTCTCTTGCCCTGGCAGTGATAAAGAGAAGAAACAAGCCCAAAGAAGAAAAGACTGATGTTGTGAAAAAAGGGGTACAAGTTGATATTAGAGTCAACAAGACTAGTGCTTCCAGTGACTTAAAGACTGGAGGTGACAGGTCAGAGTATTCAACCTCTGGGGAAAATGGAATGGTGTCAACATCACAACTAATAGTTCTTTCGAGTCCGGTGGTGAACGGGCTGAAATTCGAGGATCTACTCCAAGCTCCGGCTGAATTGGTTGGGAGAGGAAAGCATGGGAGTCTCTACAAGGTCACACTTGATGGTGGGGTGAATCTGGTTGTCAAAAGGATTAAGGATTGGAGGATTCCAAAAGAGGATTTCAAGAAGAGGATGCAGAGGATAGACCAAGTGAAGCATCCAAAGGTAATGCCAGTTGTTGCATTTTACAGTTCCAAGCAAGAGAAGCTACTTGTCTATGAATATCAACAGAATGGCAGTCTCTTCAGGCTTCTCCGCAGTAAGTTCATCCTTTGCCTATCATAACATGTACTACTAATTATATTCTCTTGTCTGGAGCCATCTGATATGAAGTCACAGGTAGAACTTACCCTTGAAAACTAACTACTATATCTAATACCATACTCGTGTGGTGTTGGACTCGAATACCAAATAAATAAATGCAAGGATAGAATTCACCCTTGAAAATGGACTTCAAGGGAAGGTTGTCCAAGAAGTCACATCCACACAATCAATTTCATATTGACTGATGTGAGGCACTCAGGATGATAACACTACCTTTCATAGAATATGTAGCAAAGAAGTTTAAAACAACAAGATTCTCAAGGATTACCAAATGTTGACCATGGCCATGGCCATGATCATGATCGGACCAGAAATGCTTCCACAAGGAAGATGATGAAGAACAGACTTATGATCAATAATCATGGAACCTCAACATTGGACCAACCCTCAAATATGGATTGAACTGAGCCTTGTTCTTGGATTACTGCTACATTTCTTGTCTGCTAGTCGATTTTTTATCCCAGGACCTAAACTCTGTGTCTCTCCAGTGACCAGACTATGTATTTAGTGCCTAAATTTCAATGCATTATGGTGAATTTCAGGATCCCAAACTGGCCAAGTATTTGAATGGGGAAGCAGACTAAATGTTGCAGCTAGCACCGCTGAGGCCTTAGCTTTCATGCACGAGGAGCTTTGCGATGATGGGATTGCCCACGGTAACCTGAAAACCTCCAACATTCTGCTGAACAAGGATATGGATCCCTGCATCAGTGAATATGGTCTGATGGTGGTTGAAACTCAAGATGAATCTTTCTTTTCTCGATCCNGGCTGCTATATCTGAGTTTTTTATTTTTTTTGGTTCTGCTCATTGAGTTCTGCTGAAATGCAGGGCAAATAAGTTCTTGCAGTTATTTCNGTTGGCTGCTATATCTGAGTTTTTTATTTTTTTTGTTTCTGCTCATTGAGTTCTGCTGAAATGCAGGGCAAATAAGTTCTTGCAGTTATTTCNTAGATCCAGCAGTATTAAAAGCGATGACCCAACTGGTGGCCAAGCATATAGCACCTTTAAGGTCGATGTTTATGGCTTTGGTGTGATTCTCCTGGAGCTGCTAACAGGGAAGCTTGTNTCGATCCAGCAGTATTAAAAGCGATGACCCAACTGGTGGCCAAGCATATAGCACCTTTAAAGTCGATGTTTATGGCTTTGGTGTGATTCTCCTGGAGCTGCTAACAGGGAAGCTTGTCCAGAACAGNTCATAAGATGGTTCCGCGAACTGTGGACTGCAATATTTGTTGAGCAGTGTTCATTTTTATTTACACAGTCGATCCCAAATGGTTGGAATTAAGGCTTTGTTGAGTTTTTGTCAAGTTGAGATCATTTTTATTTACATGTGCAATGCCGTGACTTGAACTGAGCCTGTTTAAAACTTTACCAGGTCCAATCATTGCAATTGAAAAAATCATGACGCTGAAATCGAGCATCTGGAATCATGAGAAAGCTCCATAAATGTTCTTTTCAAAGGAAAAAAATACAGATGTACAATGGTTTAATACTCACCGCCCTAAGGCTATACGGAACATGCTATTGATTACAGATGCTCTGCACCACACAACACCAAGTCAGAGAAATAAAAAACCTTCAAAAACCTGAGAGACAAGGTAACTTTCTCTCGCATCAAGTATGAAAGATTAGTATATAATTAGGGTCGCCATCAAAGCACTGGATCCATGGAGAACCCACTGATATGTACAGAGCAATAGGTTTTGAACATTTCCACCTGCCGGCTCTATATATTTAAATCCTGCTTTGTTAGTCCTTAAGTCTTTGTTGGCAAGCACAATCAGATAATACAAATCCATCTTTGTAAATTCAGCCAATTGGCACTTTATAATGATTTGTCAATATTTCAACATTGTGACCTTCTCACTTGTGCACAATGATAGTCAATCAAAAACCAACCTCATGAGAAGGAGAAACAAATCATAGGGGACATTTTCACAGAATTGATCTTGTTCCTCAGCTATGGGTCGTATCTCCATCTGTGTAATTTTTTTTATTTTCTTTTTCTTCATCTCAGTGGTGAATTCAGAAAATGGAGAAGTGAGGCAGGCTTTGGTTCAATTCATGGGGAAACTCTCTCCGGGGAATGTGCAGAGAGACGCGAATTGGGGTTGGAACGAGACTACAGACCCATGCACTGGCAAGTGGCAGGGCGTTACCTGTGACCGCGGGTTACAAAAAGTAAAGAAGGTAATTCTTGATCAGCTCAATCTCACAGGAGTTCTTGATCCCAGTTCTCTTTGCGAGGCGAGGTCTCTTGGTGTTCTGAGCCTGAAAGACAATAATGTTGTTGGAAATTTGGCAGAGCAGATATCAAATTGCAAATATCTGACTCATTTGTATCTAAGTGGCAACCGTTTCTCAGGCAATCTTCCAGACTCTCTCTCCCAGTTGAGTAATTTGAAGAGGATAGATGTATCGAGCAATGACTTCTCTGGTGAGCTGCCAGATATGTCAAGAATCTCAGGCTTGCTAACCTTCCGTGCTCAAAACAATGAACTCAATGGAACAATACCAATGTTTGATTTCTCTAACCTTGTTGAATTCAATGTCTCCAACAACAATCTCAGTGGTCCAATTCCTGACGTCAGTGGCCATTTCAATGCAAGCAGCTTTTTGGGTAATCCTGGACTTTGCGGAAAGCCACTATCAAATGATTGCCCACCAGCTCCACCTGCTAATAAGAAAGGCTCATCAAACAAAAAGTATCTTTATCTTATTTACTCCGGCATCGCTATTCTCGGGCTGATTGTTGTGATCTCTCTTGCCCTGGCAGTGATAAAGAGAAGAAACAAGCCCAAAGAAGAAAAGACTGATGTTGTGAAAAAAGGGGTACAAGTTGATATTAGAGTCAACAAGACTGGTGCTTCCAGTGACTTAAAGACTGGAGGTGACAGGTCAGAGTATTCAACCTCTGGGGAAAATGGAATGGTGTCAACATCACAACTAATAGTTCTTTCGAGTCCGGTGGTGAACGGGCTGAAATTCGAGGATCTACTCCAAGCTCCGGCTGAATTGGTTGGGAGAGGAAAGCATGGGAGTCTCTACAAGGTCACACTTGATGGTGGGGTGAATCTGGTTGTCAAAAGGATTAAGGATTGGAGGATTCCAAAAGAGGATTTCAAGAAGAGGATGCAGAGGATAGACCAAGTGAAGCATCCAAAGGTAATGCCAGTTGTTGCATTTTACAGTTCCAAGCAAGAGAAGCTACTTGTCTATGAATATCAACAGAATGGCAGTCTCTTCAGGCTTCTCCGCGGTAAGTTCATCCTTTGCCTATCATAACATGTACTACTAATTATATTCTCTTGTCTGGAGCCATCTGATATGAAGTCACAGGTAGAACTTACCCTTGAAAACTAACTACTATATCTAATACCATACTCGTGTGGTGTTGGACTCGAATACCAAATAAATAAATGCAAGGATAGAATTCACCCTTGAAAATGGACTTCAAGGGAAGGTTGTCCAAGAAGTCACATCCACACAATCAATTTCATATTGACTGATGTGAGGCACTCAGGATGATAACACTACCTTTCATAGAATATGTAGCAAAGAAGTTTAAAACAACAAGATTCTCAAGGATTACCAAATGTTGACCATGGCCATGGCCATGATCATGATCGGACCAGAAATGCTTCCACAAGGAAGATGATGAAGAACAGACTTATGATCAATAATCATGGAACCTCAACATTGGACCAACCCTCAAATATGGATTGAACTGAGCCTTGTTCTTGGATTACTGCTACATTTCTTGTCTGCTAGTCGATTTTTTATCCCAGGACCTAAACTCTGTGTCTCTCCAGTGACCAGACTATGTATTTAGTGCCTAAATTTCAATGCATTATGGTGAATTTCAGGATCCCAAACTGGCCAAGTATTTGAATGGGGAAGCAGACTAAATGTTGCAGCTAGCACCGCTGAGGCCTTAGCTTTCATGCACGAGGAGCTTTGCGATGATGGGATTGCCCACGGTAACCTGAAAACCTCCAACATTCTGCTGAACAAGGATATGGATCCCTGCATCAGTGAATATGGTCTGATGGTGGTTGAAACTCAAGATGAATCTTTCTTTTCTCGATCCAGCAGTATTAAAAGCGATGACCCAACTGGTGGCCAAGCATATAGCACCTTTAAAGTCGATGTTTATGGCTTTGGTGTGATTCTCCTGGAGCTGCTAACAGGGAAGCTTGTCCAGAACAGTGGAGTTGATTTAGGACAATGGGTGAACTCTGTGGTTAGAGAAGAATGGACTGTTGAAGTTTTTGACAGAGCCCTCATTTCAGATGGTGCTAGTGAAGAGAGGATGGTGAACTTGTTGCAGGTAGCATTGAAGTGCATAAATCCCTCACCTGATGCTAGGCCTACCATGAGTCAAGTTGCTGGAATGATCNGAACAATGGGTGAACTCTGTGGTTAGAGAAGAATGGACTGTTGAAGTTTTCGACAGAGCCCTCATTTCAGATGGTGCTAGTGAAGAGAGGATGGTGAACTTGTTGCAGGTAGCATTGAAGTGCATAAATCCCTCACCTGATGCTAGGCCTACCATGAGTCAAGTTGCTGGAATGATCAACTCTATAAAGGAAGAAGAAGAGAGATCTGCAAGCTCTGATCCATGATCAACAAACAATTCAGGCTTTGCTTACGAGAAATTTACTTTCAGCTAGAACATAAATTTTATATAGTTTCAAAGAGACTACTTATTTGTATGAAGGGAAAGTTACATGTTCAATTTCATGAATAAGTGACTGTATTATTGTATTTTTTGTGATGCATCCGACAATTTTTATTTCAAGAAATTCATTTATATGCATGCTTCGTATATTATTCAACATATTATATATCTATCCATCTATCTATCGTTTTAGTGTGAAATAACGTCGACTTGATGAACAACACTCCAGTCGTTCTTCATTTAACAATAGAGGATCCGGATCTCTAATCTAAATAAGTAGTCTAAGGCTTTCTCCGATAATCGATAACTAAGGTGGATTGATTATTCTTGTTTCCATACTAATAGCTATTATAGTATTTGATTAGTTGGGTGATGAAGAGGCCGACGATTGATGCCTTCAACTTATTAAACAAATAAGTTCTATAAAACCTACACATATTTCACTCTCTCCTATGCTGTATGTATTTTTACACCATATCATTACCCAATAAAAAGACAAAAACTAATGAACATTANCGTTTTAGTGTGAAATAACGTCGACTTGATGAACAACACTCCTTTCGTTCCTCATCTAACAATAGAGGATCCGGATCTCTAATCTAAATAAGTAGTCTAAGGTTTTCTCCGATAATCGATAGCTAAGGTGGATTGATTATTCTTGTTTCCATACTAATAGCTATGATAGTATTTGATTAGTTGGGTGATGAAGAGGCCGACGATTGATGCCTTCAGCTTATTAAACAAATAAGTTCTATAAAACCTACACATATTTCACTCTCTCCTATGCTGTATGTATTTTTACACCATATCATTACCCAATAAAAAGACAAAAACTAATGAACATTAAAAGACAAAAAAGAGAGACATTTTCGTGGATCATGATGAAGACTGTTAACGTCAACAAAAAACCAGCCGTCACCTTGTCACTCTTCGCACCGGCGCAAGTTAGTCAATCCCGTGCAGTCAAACGAAACTGGGCCCCTCCTTGCCGATGTCCATCGACTTTCCGGCCGAAATCGGAACCGATGCATACCTCATCGAGAAGTTCCGAAACGTATAATCCTCCTCCATCTCCGCAGAATTCCCATCTTGCCCCTGCCCTTCATCGAAGTTAAGCGAGTAACTCAGAGGATCGTATTGGAAATTCGCATGCCTACCTCCACCACCTTTGTTCCTATTAAACCTTCTGATGAAAGTCTTCCATCTCGGACCAGCAACGATCTCCGACCACTCGCGAAGCTTCTTCAAAACGCCAATCCCTCGGCCCAATAAAGTTCCGTCTTCGCTCTCTCCAGTTCGTACTCTTTGCCACCAATTCAAGGTCGACCATGATCGGTCGGAGGAACCGAAACAGGGTGTGCAGAAACAGCTACGGCGATTCTTGTACAGAATTTCCGACGTGTCTGCGTTTGATTCAGTGTCTTTCTGTGACAATTCACGACCCTCCATAGTACTGTGTGTGCGCTCACGGAAAGAGAGATTGGTTTCAACTTTCAAGGGGTTTGTTCACAGTAACACCTCCCCTTCGGAGAAGGCTACGGTACGTTCATAGGAATTTTCAGTACGATAAATTTTAAATTATAACATTAACGGTGTATTTATTAAATTTGTGACATATTTACGCCGGTCGAAAACAAGACAAGATAAGACATTGAAATAATAAGACAACACATATTTTTGAGCTGTTCTTAAATTAATTGAGGATAAAAATACCATATTAGTGAAAAGTTTACAACAGTAGTGAATAAAATTATAAAATTTGTGGGAATATTTACTAAATTTGTGAGAATATTTACAACTTCAGTGATATATTTACTAAATTTGTGAGAATATTTATAATTTCAGTGGTATATTTATCAAATTTGTAAAAAATTTTACAATTTCAATGGATTCAAATATTTACAACTTCACGGAGAGATTTGATCGATCGTGAAAAGATTTGATCGATCATGGAGATATATTTGATCGATCATGGGGAGATTTGATTGATTGTGGGGAGATTTGATCAATATACACTTGTGTGTGCTTATTTTATGAATATTTTACAACTAATCCAAGAAAATATACAACTTCAATGGATCAATTACCACTTTTATGGGAATATTTACAACTTCATAAGGAGATTTATTAAATTTGTGAAAATATTTACAACTTCAATAGTATGTTTACCAAATTTGTAGAAATCTTTACAATTTCACTGGATTCAAATATTTATAACTTCATGGGAAGATTGGATCGATCGTGGAGAAATTTGATTGATCACAAACTTACTGTTTTTCAAAAAAATTTGAGGGAGACTACTTCAACCTTGCGATAGATCACAAGATCTTAGGATAGATCGCAAATATTTTGAAGATAAAAAATAATAATAATTTCGATATATTCTGAATAATAATTTTGATATATTCTCAAAAATAATAATAAATTAAAAAAAATTAAAATTAAAATTTTATTGAACATATTTTTGATAGATCAATTACACATATTTTATTTATCACTTTCATCGGAATATTTATAATTTGAATGGATTCTTTATGAGAATAATTACAACTTCAGTAGTATGTGTTACCAAATTTATTTGTTTAATTGATCTATCAAAATTCAATTTTAAAATTTTTTAAAAAATTTATCCAATTTTTTTTAAAAAAATTTAAAATTAAATTTATATTAAACATATTTTAAAATTAAATTTTGAAAAATCGATCAAATTGTTGTTTGATTTATCAAATTCTTGTGATAGATCATAAACATTCATAAAAAATTTTTCACTATTGTTGTAAAATTTTTCACTAATATTGTAATTTGTACCACAATTGTGGTAATTTTTCCACTATTCTTGTAAATATTTCATTAATGTTGTAACAGAAAAATCATAAAAAAAGAGACAGAAAGTTCATGATCGGTCAAACATATATTTGATTGATCATGGACTAGTAATGAATTTATTGAAANTTTCAAGGGGTTTGTTCACAGTAACACCTCCCCTTCGGAGAAGGCTACGGTACGTTCATAGGAATTTTCAGTACGATAAATTTTAAATTATAACATTAACGGTGTATTTATTAAATTTGTGACATATTTACGCCGGTCGANTGTCAAGGGGTTTGTTCACAGTAACACCTCCCCTTCGGAGAAGGCTACGGGTACGTTCATAGGAATTTTCGGTACGATAAATTTCAAATTATAACATTAACGGTGTATTTATTAAATTTGTGACATATTTACGCCGGTCGAAAACAAGACAAGATAAGACATTGAAATAATAAGACAACACATATTTTTGAGCTGTTCTTAAATTAATTGAGGATAAAAATANTTGGTAAATATACCACTGAAGTTGTAAATATTCTCACAAATTTAGTAAATATTCCCACAAATTTTGTAATTTTATTCACTACTTTTGTAAAATTTTCACTAATGTTGTAATTTTGTTCACTATAGTTGTAAACTTTCCACTAATATTGTAATTTTACCCTCAATTGACTTAAGGGCGGCAAGAGTGAGAGACATAAAGTCCATGATCAATCANACCATATTAGTGAAAAGTTTACAACAGTAGTGAATAAAATTATAAAATTTGTGGGAATATTTACTAAATTTGTGAGAATATTTACAACTTCAGTGATATATTTACTANGAGAGAGACAGAAAGTCCATGATCAATCAAACATATTTTTAATCGATTATGGACTAGTAATGAATCCATTGAANATCATATTAGTAAAAAGTTTACAACAGTAGTGAATAAAATTATAAAATTTATGGGAATATTTACTAAATTTGTGAGAATATTTACAACTTCAGTGATATATTTACTAAATTTGTGAGAATATTTATAATTTCAGTGGTATATTTATCAAATTTGTAAAAAATTTTACAATTTCAATGGATTCAAATATTTACAACTTCACGGAGAGATTTGATCGATCGTGAAAAGATTTGATCGATCATGGAGATATATTTGATCGATCATGGGGAGATTTGATTNCCCATAAATTTAGTGGTATGTTTACTAAATTTATGGTATATTAAAAATTTCAGTGGTATATTTATCAAATTTGTGAAAATATTTACAACTTCAGTGATATGTTTATCAAATTTGTGAAAATCTTTACAACTTCAATGGATTCATTACTAGTCCATGATCGATCAAATATATGTTTGATCAATCATGGACTTTTTTTTTCTCTCTCTCTACACCACAAATTCGGTGAGAATATTTAATAAATTTGTGAGAATATTTACAATTTCAGTAGTATATTTACTAAATTTGTGGGAATATTTACGACTTCAATAGTATGCTTACTAAATTTGTGAAATCTTTACAATTTCAATGGATTCAAATAATTACAACTTCACGGGGAGATTTGATCGATCACGAAAAGATTTGATCGATCATGGAGATATATTTGATCGATCATGGGGAGATTTGATTGATTGTGGGGAGATTTGATCAATATACACTTGTGTGTGCTTATTTTATGAATATTTTACAACTAATCCAAGAAAATATACAACTTCAATGGATCAATTACCACTTTTATGAAAATATTTACAACTTCATAATGGGGAGATTTGATTGATTGTGGGGAGATTTGATCAATACACACTTGTGTGTGCTTATTTTATGAATATTTTACAACTAATCCAAGAAAATATACAACTTCAATGGACCAATTATCACTTTTATGGGAATATTTACAACTTCATAATGGGGAGATTTGATTGATTGTGAGGAGATTTGATCAATACACACTTGTGTGTGCTTATTTTATGAATATTTTACAACTAATCCAAGAAAATATACAACGTCAATGGATCAATTACCACTTTTATGGGAATATTTACAACTTCATAAGGAGATTTATTAAATTTGTGAAAATATTTACAACTTCAATAGTATGTTTACCAAATTTGTAGAAATCTTTACAATTTCACTGGATTCAAATATTTATAACTTCATGGGAAGATTGGATCGATCNATAAAGAGATTTATTAAATTTGTGAAAATATTTACAACTTCAATAGTATGTTTACCAAATTTGTAGAAATTTTTACAATTTCACTGGATTCAAATATTTATAACTTCATGGGAAGATTGGATCGATCGTGGAGAAATTTGATTGATCACAAACTTACTGTTTTTCAAAAAAATTTGAGGGAGACTACTTCAACCTTGCGATAGATCACAAGATCTTAGGATAGATCGCAAATATTTTGAAGATAAAAAATAATAATAATTTTGATATATTCTGAATAATAATTTTGATATATTCTCAAAAATAATAATAAATTAAAAAAAATTAAAATTAAAATTTTATTGAACATATTTTTGATAGATCAATTACACATATTTTATTTATCACTTTCATGGGAATATTTATAATTTGAATGGATTCTTTATGAGAATAATTACAACTTCAGTAGTATGTGTTACCAAATTTATTTGTTTAATTGATCTATCAAAATTCAATTTTAAANCGATCAATCAAATCTCCTCATTAAGTTGTAAATATTTGAATCCATTGAAATTGTAAAGATTTCACAAATTTAGTAAGCATACTATTGAAGTCGTAAATATTCCCACAAATTTAGTAAATATACTACTGAAATTGTAAATATTCTCACAAATTTATTAAATATTCTCACCGAATTTGTGGTGTAGAGAGAGAGAAAAAAAAAGTCCATGATTGATCAAACATATATTTGATCGATCATGGACTAGTAATGAATCCATTGAAGTTGTAAAGATTTTCACAAATTTGATAAACATACCACTGAAGTTGTAAATATTTTCACAAATTTGGTAAATATATCACTGAAGTTGTAAATATTCCCATAAATTTAGTGGTATGTTTACTAAATTTATGGTATATTAAAAATTTCAGTGGTATATTTATCAAATTTGTGAAAATATTTACAACTTCAGTGATATGTTTATCAAATTTGTGAAAATCTTTACAACTTCAATGGATTCATTACTAGTCCATGATCGATCAAATATATGTTTGATCAATCATGGACTTTTTTTTTCTCTCTCTCTACACCACAAATTCGGTGAGAATATTTAATAAATTTGTGAGAATATTTACAATTTCAGTAGTATATTTACTAAATTTGTGGGAATATTTACGACTTCAATAGTATGCTTACTAAATTTGTGAAATCTTTACAATTTCAATGGATTCAAATATTTACAACTTAATGAGGAGATTTGATTGATCGTGGGGAGATTTATTTGGGGGAGACTACTTCAACCATGCGATAGATCACAAGATCTTAGGATAGATCGCAAATATTTTGAAGATAAAAAAATAATAATAATTTCGATATATTCTGAATAATAATTTTGATATATTCTAAAAAATATTAATAAATTAAAAAAAATTAAAATTGAATTTTAACTCAAATTTTAAAATTGAATTTTAACTCAAATTTTAAAATTGAATTTTGAAAAATCCAATTTTNTCGTGGAGAAATTTGATTGATCACAAACTTACTGTTTTTCAAAAAAATTTGAGGGAGACTACTTCAACCTTGCGATAGATCA